ACCTGCCAGCCACTCCTCGGAAGGAAGGTTGGGCAATCTACTTCCATAGTGATAACGCCTTAGAAACCCAAGGAGGGGTTGCTATGGGTCAAAATTGGCTCGACGGCAGTGAGTTTGGTTTGGTTTCTTTGGTATGCTCTACTGTTTATATATATTTGCGGCAATACAAATATATATGTAGAAATATTTTCTTTCATACCTATATATATATTTGTGGGTGTATCCCATTTACCTTCCAAACCTGTTCAGCTTACGTGTGTACCTGTGTATCCACTCATAGATTATAGTTTGTTATTGCTGTTATTGCAGGATTATGTATGTAATAATATAGTAGCTAAATTGTGTGTCAACTTGGCTGGGCCTGGTTTTGAGTGGTTGGGCAGCTGGATGTAGCTATTACCCATGATGAGACTGGTAATCAACTCCATGGTGGAATCTACTAGAGCAGCTGAGTAGCTGCCTTAGGGATTTGGTCTGCTTCCAGTATACCAAAAGAAGCATTGAGATAGGTCTCTGGAGCTTTTGGCATACTTGGACCTTGCATTTGGTCGACTCTTCATCTCAGTGACCTGTCATGTTGTCTGCCGATCTTGGGACTATTAATGAACTTGAATTGTTGGCTTGCCATGTTGCATGATGATTTTGGGACTGTGCCATTTTACTTATTGACTTTGGGTTTGTCATCCTCAGCAGCCAGCAGCTGTCTGAGTTAATAGAAGCCTCCAGCTTCAGTGGGCTGGGAGCAAGTGGGAGAGCTGAAGCCCAACGTCAAGGGACCTTGATCTGGCCCCTGTAGCTGACACTTTGAACTCAGACTTCCAGCCTCCTAAACTGTAAGAGAATAAATTCCTGTGTGTTAAAGCCACCCATTTGTATGTAGTATTTTCTGTTAGAGCAGCGCTAGAGAACCAAAACAAATAATATTTATTTTTGTTACCTTTAATTCTGTGCAAAAATACATCTTTATATGATCAGTTGGTGTGTGTATAAATATTGTTTTCAGTTTAAACCTTCTGGCCCTTTATCCCATAGCATGAAAAGTAGTGGTTTCTATCAGGCAGGTTTTCCTGGCAACATGGAGAAGCTCTGCTGACATCTTGGTGAAATGAAGAGGAGCATGATTCAGCATTTAGTTCTGCATTGTTGCATAACAAATCACCTCAGAAGTCACCTTAGGGTCTTAAAAGAGCAATGTATATGTTTTTTTCTTTTTTTGCTCACAATTTTGTGAGACTGGAATTTGGACAGGATACACTGGGGATGGCAGTTATTGGCAATGACAATGTTTAGGAAATAACCATGGGAATGAACAGCTAAGATTATTGGAGAAGTAAGGATCAAGGAAATCTGAGAATCTAGCATATTTGAATATTTTATTCTATGTGAAAATTTAAATCACCAAATAGTTTTTGGAGAGAGTGACAATGAACCAAGAGTTAAAATCTTAAAGGAAGAGAACAATGACCTAGAATCTAAAATAAAATAATCCCACTATTCTACTCTCTCACAAAAACCCTTGTGGTAATTAAATTTGTGTGTCAACTTGGCTGGGCTCAGTTGAATGGCTGGGCAACTGGATGTAGTATTCCCCACGATGAGACTGGTAATAAACTCCATGGTGGAATCTATTGTGAGCAGCTGAGTAGCTGTCTTAGGGATGTGGTCTGCTTCCTGTATATAAGGAAAAGCCTTGGGGAATGGTCTCTAGCTTATCGCATGCTTGCACCCTGCATGTACCCCAGTCATCATTGTTCAGCAGCCTGCCATGCCCTGCCGATCTTGGGACTTTCAATGGACTTGGATTAATGGCCTACTGTGTGGTTTGGTAATATCAGGATTGTGCCTTGTTACTTTGTCAGCCTCAGCAGCTAGCAGCTGAGTGAAGAAAAGCTTCAGGCTTCAGTGGGCTGGGAGCAGGAGGCAGGGTTGAAGCCCAAGGTTGAGGAGCTTTCACCCAGCCCCTAGAGCCTGGCACTTTGAATTTGGGCTTTGCAAAAAGGGCAAGGAGGCCACATATTCCGACCTCCTAGAACCCCACAAGAGGAAGGCAGAAGCACCATCAATAGCCCAAGGCCTATTACTGCAAGGCCAGACATTGTGCCTCCCTTAAACCCTTTTACCAACTGTTCCTCCCAAAGCACCCATCACCTGTCTCCCAGGTTCGATAACTCGCTGCAGTGGCCACACAGAGCTCACAGATTATGGGGTTTATTAGGGAAACACCACAGGCTACAATTCAAGTTCAGGAAAAAATGCTCAGTCTCTCTGTCTCAGCCAACAGTCTCTCACAGTCTCTTTCCCCGCAGTGCTGGTCCCTTGGTGTCTCACTCAGCAATGTGTGTCTCTTGCGTCTCTTTCCAGCAATGCATGTCTCAGGAGCGCGTGTCTCTTTCAGCAGCACGTCTTCCTCAACCAGCAGTCAGAGAGAGTTCTGCCTGTAGGAGGCCTCCTTTTGAGCTTGGCAGAGTGGCCAAACCAACCAATCATAACAACAGAATTCTAAGCACCTGAGAGTGAACATCCCATAACATTGCATTGTGCCACACCCAACAGAAATAACCCAGGTAGATAACATTTACAATCAGGAGCTCCTCAGTTGCTCATTTCACCACTGAGTTTACAGTGACTTATGGGTAGAAAAGCCACACTAAGTAATTTACTACACTGCAGACTTAAAGCCTCCAAATTGTAAGAATAAATTCCTGTTTGTTAGAGTCATCGCTTTTGTGGTATATTCTTGTCAGAGCAGCACTAACTAACCAGAACAACCCTATTTCTTCCCTCTTCTTCAGTGGAACTTCTCCAAAGTGGTGTCTATACTTATTGTTTCTGTTTTCTTGCTTCCCCTTCCTAAATACACTCCATTGAGGCATCTTTTCCATGAAGCTTGTATTTGATGATTCATCATTTTAGTAATTTTTTTGTCAATATCCTATCATCACCTTAAAATTTTTCTTTTCTTCACATCCCAGTACACTACATTAGATCTCACCTAGATCATGTGAAAATAGTATGGTTGGGCATCTGACCTCCTCTAACTTCAAGAGGGAGAAAGACAACTACCATCAGCATCAGCCTTCCTAAGAAGTGGAGGTCAGAAATACCTCCTCTCTCCAGACTTTTTACCAATTCTGATACCAACCTATGGCCTTTTCTACTTCTCTGCTGGGTTCAATAAGTCATTGCAGTGGCCACACAGAACTCACAGATAATACAATTATGAGGTTTATTAAGGAGATAATAGGTTACAATTCAGGATCAGAAAGGACTCAGGATTCAGTTCTTCAGTCAAGACAGCCTCTTCTCACCTGTACCCACAGGCAGGGCTCTTTCTAGACATTGGCTCCTTGGGCCTCTTGCACTTCTTAGCCTAGCCTCTGCCCTGCTGGGATAAGTGTTACAAAGCTCTTTAGCTCTGCCAGTAAGTGCCCACAGGCACCCCACTCTGTCAGCAAGCCACCTGCCTAAAGGCACTCAGCTCTCTCAGTCTGTGGGTTCGCATACCCACTAAAACTACCTTGCTCCATGGGCTTGGAAGCCCACTGTGCCATCTTGCTCTGGTCTCTTAGTTCTGCTGCCTCTGTATCACTGCCACTGTTTCTTGCTGTCTTGTGTCTTCTCTGATGTTATTATAGCTCTCTTTGTGTCTCTTGGCTGTAGGACGTTCTCAACACAGGGACACCAGGCCAAAGAACATACTCTGCTCCTTTCTGCTTTTGGTGATAGTAGTTCCCTCTTTCTACCTCTGGGATGGCTCATTTTAAGTCTAGCAGGATGGCAAAAGTGACCAATCCTCTCTCGTTAGAGTTCCATACACCTTATTTGCATGATCCCACTGCCACAACAGTACCATGACCCTTATTTATATTATTAGCAAGCTGCCAAATCCCCTTGGTGGGCCCAAGCATCTTATTTGCACAGTCCCACTCAATGTTTTGGTGGAAGTTACAAGATCATGGCTAGAAAGGCCATATAAAAGCAGTCTGTCACACCATAACTATGTTACCAACTTCAGCTAATGATTTTCTGTCCTCTTACATCACCTCAACTAGCACATATTTTTGAATGAAGGTTTTCACTGATCATCATAACCCAGATTAGAGTTTGTTCATTGCAGTGCAGCTGCAGTATTTTTAAAGGGAGAATTAAAAAATTCGTATTAAAAGACATTATCTGTCAATTATTGCTTTAGGTGTTCTAGATACACCCAGCATTGGATAAGATGAAATAAAAAGTCAATAAATAATTTTAAATGGATGCACAGATGTGTGAATGCCTGAATGAAAGAAACAAGAAGTTCAGCTACTAGATATCTGTTCATTGGGCAAATTCAATCTGGATTCTGAGCTCATTGCAATTGTAGAATGATTACCATGTGGTTGATTAGGACATTGTGTGAGAGAGGGAGGTGATTTATTTATACTGAGGGTTTGTGGGAACCTGAAGTGTACTCTGGATGACCGTTCTGCGGCAGTGGAGCCACAGAGGCACATGGTATACAGAAACCTAGGCTTAAGGAAGGGGAGCCAAGAATTGGTAAAAGTTTATTTTCTAAAATTCCAATTTTTCTTTTGCGTTCTCAAGAGACACTCATTAGGTAAATTGGGCTTATTCAAAGGAGAATAGCCAGGATGAATCTTGGGAACCAAATCATGTTAGATAAAGGAATAAAAAGGTGGCTAGCTAGAAGAATTGAATTTGGGAAACTTACATTCAGAGTTGTGATATAGAAGAATAATGAAAACTGTTGCAGGAGTAACACTAAGGACAGTGAGTTGAAGATACAGGAAAATTAATTTCAATTTACTATGAGGACTGCTAACCAGAAGCCTGGCGGTTCAAGCCCACCAGCCACTCCTCAGAAGGAAGGTTGGGCAATCTACTTCCATAGCGATACTGCCTCGGAAACCCAAGGAGGGGTCGCTATGAGTCCGATCCGACTCCATGGCAGTGGGTTTGCTTTGTTTTTTTACCATATACCTAAGTCAGACCCTAGGTCATCACCTCTGGGAAAAGGGCTTCCTTCCAGTGAGTTTTCTGAGAGCCCCTTTGACATCCTTGTTCCTCAGGCTATAAATTATGGGATTCAGCATTGGAGTTACCACTGTATAGAATACAGATATCATCTTATCCCGCTCTTTTGTGGTCTTGGAGTTTGGCCGCATGTAGGTAAATATTCCTGACCCATAGAAAAGGACAACAACAATGAGGTGGGAGCCACATGTAGAGAAAGCCTTGAGTCTTCCCTCTCCAGACTGCATCTGGAGCACAGTGGAGATAATATTCCAGTAAGAGACAAGGATGAGGGAGACAGGAGCTAGAAGGATTACCACACCCATTGCAAAGATAGCCAGTTCTGTACTGTAAGTCTCTGCAGAAGCTAGCTTCAAAAGTGCAGGAGGTTCACAAAAATAGTGATTGATTATATTCTGTTCCAAATAGGGAAGACGAAAAGTAAAAGTGGTGTCTACCAGAGACACTAGAGCCCCACTAGCCCAAGACCCAAGGGCCAACTGGAGACACACTTGCTGGGTCATGATGGTGGAGTAATGCAGGGGCTTGCAGACAGCTACATACCGGTCATAGGACATCACTGCCAGCAGTGCACACTCCGTACACCCAACCAGAAGGAAGACAATTACCTGTGTCATACACCCAAAAAAAGAAATGGTCTTTTTCTTTGCCAGGAGGTGGATCAACATTTGAGGTACGATACTAGTAGAGAAACATAGATCTGCAAAAGAGAGGTTTCTAAGAAAAAAGTACATGGGGGTGTGAAGTCGAGAATCCATATGGATGAGAATGATAATGAGCAGGTTTCCAAGCACAGTCAACAAATAAACGATGAGGAAAAGGATAAATAGCAGGATTTGGGTCTGCAAGTCCTGTGAAAGACCCAGGAAGATAAATTCAGCCACAAAAGTTTGATTGTCGTCTCCCATTAATGTTTATTCCTGTTTATCTGTTTGGACAAACAAAAAGAACATCAAATCTTATACAAACACTATGTTAAAACTGATACCTAATTGGATATTTGTGGTTTTTTGCTATCTAGCTTGTGTTAATAGTAAATAGATTTTTTTTTTCTTATCCATTGGCTTTAACTGAAAGACACTTTATTTTTTCTTAAATATCCTCTCTCCAATGCCAACTTTTTGTAGATAACGTATGACATTAAGTTCTCTTGACTACTGATACGAGGATATTAAAGTTCATGTAGATTTTACTAAGTGGATATACACCCACTCCTCACTTCTTGACATGGTTATGTTCCAAAAAACAGGTCATTATGTCAAAATAAGCATTATGCAAAAATAGAAGATAACCATCATTAGATCACAAAATGGAGAATGACCACATCGTCATATACCAAAACATAAAACCAAATTCACTGCCCTAGTGTTGAGTCCTAGTCGTAGCGACCCCTTCTTGGGTTTCAGAGGTGGTATCACTACAGAAGTAGATTGTCCAACCTTCCTTCTGAGGAGTGGCTGGTAGTTTTGAACCACCAGCCTTTTGGTTAGCAGTCAAATACCTTAGGCACTATGCTACAAGAGCTCCCCATCTTCATATATCTGCCAGATTACATCATGACATAACTGCCAAACCATTGAGAGTCATAGCCGAGCCAAGTTAACACATAACCCTAACCATCATAACATTACTATCACCTTGTACCTTGGCATTAGTTACTACCAGGTGTATAACATTAACCTGCCAAATAACATGCTAAATAGTAGATTTTTTTACTATTGCTATAAATGCAAAATGTTGGATAATGAGCTAATCAATAAGTGAGGAATAGGCATACACATATTGTTAGGAAATGACTGTATGTATTGTTTTGAGATTCCTCATACATAAAATTACACTATTAACTGTTCATAAATATTATATAGGAGCTCTGGTAGCATAGTGCCTAAGGCACTTGACTGCTAACCAGAAGGCTGGCGGTTCAAACCCACCAGCCACTCCTAGGAAGGAAGGTTGGGCAATCCTACTTCCGTAGTGATACTGCCTCAGAAACCCAAGGAGGGGTCGCTATGAGTCGCGGCCGACTCAACAGCATATAA